TGCAAAGCATATGATAAAATGGCAGGAAATTCTAGATGTACCAGTCATCCCAGTAAATTAAACTGGACTAAACAGAACAGTAACAGTATGAAACTAAAATGTGAACAGAATTTAGCTGTAAGATGTTTAGAAGAGAGAAATTTAAGACAAACACAAGGAGATTAAAAATGAACATATTGGGAAAATTTGTATCAGAACTTTTGCTTTCTTGTATTTACTTTTTCTCATCTCCTTTACATAACTGTTTTCAAGATTTGTTACTATAAATTAGGTTAGCCATTTTTAGAAATTCTACACAAAGGGGATTATATAGTATGTGTTCTTTTGTGTTTTGGTTATTATATATAACACAAAGATTTTTCCATAGTAATGTGTGTTCCATGTATCAATTGTATTTCACTTCATATGCAGCTTATACATTTGTGTTTAATCATTCTTTCCTGGGGAATTTAAGGCTTTTGTACTGTTAGAACTGTTTTGAGGAACTTAATTATATACGTTTTTACTCAAGTAATTTTGTGAATGTGTATTTTCATTCTTTGGGCTATACTTTTTGATTTTGATTTTTTATTTTCTGGTGGTACCAGGGATTGAACTCAGGACCTTGTGCTTGCCAGGTAAGCACAAGCTATCTCCACTGAGCTATCTCCCCAGTCCTGGACTATATTTCCGATGGAGTTATTTTTTTCAGAAAGTGCATGTGTATAACTTAATTGAGGAATAATCAGCCTTTTAACACCTTTATGTTTCCTTTTTGTGGCTCTTATTTTACTTTTTTTTTTTGTCATGGCCTCATGTAATGCACCTTTGTTTTCTTTGGCTACTTTGAAATTTTCCTTTAATTTTTACTTCAGCAATTTGGCTCAGATATCTAGATGACTTATAATTGTTTTGTTTAAATTTTGATATCTACCTACTTTGTTGTTTGTTTTTAAAGTAAGGAAAATTTTGGCCAATTTTTCCAAAACTTTTTGTTATGTTTTCTCCTTTAACTTCTTTTTCTATTTTTTATTTATTTATTTATTTTGGTGGTACTGGGGATTAAACTATGGACCTTGTGCTTGCCAGGCAAGCACTAATTCTACTGAGCCATCTCCTCAGAAATTTTATTTTATTTCTTATTTTTTATTTTTTATTTCTCCTGTGACTTCTATGTATTAGATTATATGGTATTTCATAGGTTACTCAGACTCTTATTTTTCTTCTGCTTTGTCCTCTGTCTTCTTTACATAGGATAACTTTTACTTTGCTGATTTTATTGTACTGTTTCCACTTTTAATTTTTAATTTTTTGGTAATATTTGGTAGAGGGTCTCACTATGCAGCTCCTTTTAGCCTCTGCTGTGCTAGGATTATAGGTGTGTGCCACCATATCCGGTCTCAGTGGCTGGATCAGTGGCATATGGTGCCAGGTATGGAACTCTGGTTCCTGTGCCTTCCTAAGCAGGAGCTTAGTCCGTTGAGCTGTCTCTCTGGCCCCATTGTGCTGTTTCCAATCTCCACTTAATTAACTTTGCTGAATGGAGTTTTTTCATTTCAGAAATTTTTATTTCCAGAATGTTCATTTGATTCCTTTGTATAGTTTCCTTTGCTCTTCTTAGATTTCTTCCCTTTTAACTTATTAAGGCTGTTTTCTTCTTGAAATCCAGGAATATAATTCTGTTAACTATTTTATTTTTTTTTTTTTGCTAATCCTAGCCATGGGAAGGTTTTGTAGTCTGGTAGTTTTGAAGATGAGGAGGAGGGATTCAACATGGCTTCATTTTTTTGCTTGTTGTATCTTTTTTCTCATAAGGCTTTATGTTTTAATCTGAGTTACCAATCTCCAGTTTTTAGTATACCTTATTCTCCCATGTTTAGAGTATTCAGTCTATTCTTATCTTTTTTTTTTTTTTTTTTTTGGCGGAACTGGGGATTGAACTCAGGCCCTTGCACTTGCCAGGGAAGCACTTATTCCATTGAGCCATCTCCCCGGCCTAGAGTATTCAGTGATCGATCTAAAAGTCAGTACAAGGGCCGGGGAGGCGGCTCAGTGGAATAAGTGCTTCCCGGCAAGTGCAAGGGTCTGAGTTCAGTCCCCGGTTCCGCAAAATAAAATAAAATAAAATAAAAGTCAGTACAGAAGGATATAAGAAACTCAAAGATAATTTTTTTTAAAAGCCACTGTGTTTGTGGAGAAGATTCTCCAAGAAAGGGGAAAATCCTTGTGAGAACTTTGTGAAGAGAAAAGTTTAAGAACATGAATCTAGGCTCAGGTTGTAGCACAGTGGTAGAGTGCTTGCTTTATACCAGTGAAGCAGTAGCACAGATCTGTACTCTAAGATATCAGAATGGTAATAGAAATAGTTTTTTAAGTTAATTAAATAAATACATAAAACACCTGTATGAGTTACAAAAATAGAGGAAAAACCATTGAAAATTGAATAATGTTCAGGAAAATCATAAGATTTGTTTCAGTATATAGAGGAAAATAATGAAGATGAAAGGTAGGAAATTATAATCTGGGATGGGGATAATAAAGTAGGAAAAGTAGAGCAAAAATATGTGTTCAAAAAAAATTCTTCCCCATGTACTGTTGGTGTCAAAGGTATATTATATTCATAGTACTTGTTTTTGTACATCTGTTTTCACTTCTTTTGGGACTGTATACCTGGCATTGGAATAGCTGGATCATAGAGTAACTCAGTCTTAACTTTTGATGAACTGTTAGAATGTTCTCCAAGATGAATACATAATTTCATATTCATTCTGTAAAGAGTCTAGTTTTTCCAAATCATTGAAAATTTTGGGCCAGGGAGATGGCTCAGTGGAATAAGCACTTCCCTGGCAAGCGCAAGGGCCTGAGTTCAATCCTCGGTTCCGCAAAAAAAAAAAAAAAGAGATTAAAAAATAAATAAATAAATAAATAAAAGAAAATTTTGCTATCTTTGATTTGTAGTTTTCTGATGACTAGTGATATTGAGAATCTTTTCATAATACTTAATAATTTTACCTTTTCTTTAGAAAATATTTAAATCCTTTGTTCACTCTTATATTAGCTTTTCATTTTTTAATTTAGCTGTAAGAGTTCCTTTTATATTCTTTTTTTTTTTTTTTCCAGAACTGGGGATTGAACTCAAGACACTTGCACTTGCCAGGCAAGCGCTTATTTTACTGAGCCATCTCCCCAGCCCCCCTTTTATATTCTTAATACAAATTCCTTATCAGATAGATAATGTACAAGTAATTTACACTATTTTGTGAGTTGGATTTTCACTTTCTTGATATGGTAGTATTCTTTAAAGCAGAGAAATATCTAATTTGATACTTTTTTGGTCTTTTTTTTGGAGGGTGGGGGAGGAGTTCTTGTGTTTTTTGTGCCATATGTGTTATGATTGCCTAATTCAGTATCTTAAGATTCACTTTCTTCTAAAATGTATTAGTGGTTACATTTAGTTTTTTTGTTCAAACTTACACTTTTTGCTTGTGGAAATACAGCTGTCACACAGTCAGCTATTGAAAAGATTATTCTTTCTCCACTGATTATCATATAGCTCTTGTTAAAAATCAGTTCATCTTAAGTGTAAGGGCTTATTTCTGGACTAACAGTTCATTCATCATGACAGTTACTACATCTTTGTAGTAAATTTAAAATTGGGACGTGTGAGTTGTCCAAGTTTGCTTTTAAGTTTTGTTTTGTTTCATTTATTTTGGGTCCTTTGCTTTTGTGTATCAATGTTAGGATTAACTCGTTCATTTCTGTAAGAATAGGTAACTGAAGTTTTAATAACTATTAGATTGATCTGTAAATCAATTTAGGAAGCACTGTAATCTTTTCTGTATTTTCCAGTTCATGAGTATAGCTATTCCATTTATTTATATCTTTGGTTTTTTAAAATGATGTTTTATAGTTTTCAGTGTAGCCCTCTTGTGCTGTTTTGTTAAATGTATTATATTATTTTAATGCTATTAATGGAATTGTTTTCTTGTTTTCAGGACATTTATTATTATTTATTTACTTATTTATTTATTTTTGTGGTATCAGGGGTTGAACTCAAGACCCTGCGCTTGCCAGGCAAGCACTAATTCTACAGGACGTTTATTATTGTGTAGAAATACAATTGATTGTTATATTAATTTTGTTTTTGTAATTATGCTGAATTTATTAGGACTAATAAATTTTCATGGATTCCTTAGGATTTTTTACGTATAAGATAATATCGTATCAAGTAAAGATAACTTTCACTTCTTATATATATTACATTATTGCTTATGCATACATTTGTATTATTAAAATCAATAGCATCTTGCTGAATTTATTAAAAACTGTATTTAAAAATATTGATAATCACTTCTAAAGGAAACAGTCGTCTAATTTTTCGTCCCTTAATAGATCAGCTGATATCTAAAATTGGTTGTCCATGTCAGCAATGTATTTGTTGCTGAAAAATGATGCAAAGGGATTATATTTACTCATCCATCCATCCATCCATCCATCCATCCATTCATTGTACTCGTGATTGAGCCTAGAGCTTTCACGCTGCACTACATCCCAAGCTCTTTTTAGTTTTTGTTTTGAAACAAGTTCTCTTTACTGTAGTTGCCCGGGCAGTGCTCAAATTTACAGGCCTCCTGTCCTAGATTTTCAGAGTGTTGGAACTGCAGATGTGCTACCATATCAGGCTAGAAATTTTTTGACTATCAAAATAAGATGTAAGCTTGTCTATTTCTGTATCAATTCCTCCTCCTGCCCAATTCCCTTTGTATTCTGATTATTAATGTTGAAAGAAGTTGTTAAAAAGAGTTCATTATTAAATTTTCTAATTGGGATAGTTGTTGCTAAGTTAAATGTGTAAATGATAACAGTAGTTACAGGATTTGGTTTATACTATTATCTCAATATTTTTGACATATTTATTAAATACTTAACATTGAACTACACTAGTTTTTGTCTTTAGAAGATGGTTTCATGTTTAGTTTTCTTGGCATTGATTTGAAATGTTCTGCCCTTTCCTTTGCTAGGTATAACTCGGAAAAATCCCCGAACACCTCTTTCTGATCTCCAGGGCATGAATACTCTAAATGAAAAAAATCAGCAGTAAGTTTGATTTATGTTTTCAAGGAGGTATAGTGCAAAGAACTATTATCTTAAGTATTTTTATGTCTTTAAAACTATGAAAAAGTCAGGTTTGGTTAGGTTTTTTTATCCTTAAATCCTTAATGAATGATGTGGTAAGTTAATAGGTTAGAGTTAACAGAAGTTGCCTATGATTACTTCTGGTATAATGGTGCTACAATTTTAAGGAGGTTATCTAGAGTTACCTTTTACCATTTTAAGTGAAGATTATTTCTTAGTACAATCTAAAATTGACACATAGTTTGGCTTGTCAGTGCATAACTTTAACCTCCAGTACTCGGGAGACTGAAGTAGGAGGGTCACAAGTTCAAACCCAGACTTAGGTGGCTTAGTGTGACCCTGTCTCAGAAATTTTAAAAGGGGGTCTTTTGGATTTTCTCTGTAGAATTTTCCTTATAAATGGGCATTATCAGAATCATAATAGCTCAATTTTTTTTATCATTTTGTTTGATAATAGGCTAACAAAGTAAAGTATAAGGGCTATTTTCACATCCTGAAGTTCTCAACTGCATTTTATAGGGATATAGATGATAATTTTTTATGAAAATGTACAGAAAATCTGTTACAGTAGCTTTCTCATTTATATATAAGTGATCATGAAAGAAGTACCCCATAAGCACCTGTTTAGGCAAGCACAGGGATTGGGGTTTAATACCCAGTACCACATGCCACACTGTCCCTGTCCCCAGATGCACTGAACCATCCACTAAGACCAGGTGTGGTGGTGCATTCCTATAATTGCAATGCCAAGGAAGCTGAAAACAGGAGGATCACTAGGAGTCCGAGCTACAGAGTAAGACCATGTGCCAAATACATTATTAAAAAAAAAAGAAGTACCCTATGAAGAATTTTTTTTTCAAATAGTTAATGCCTTTTATTCTCATAAAAATAGAAAAAGTTTTGTTTATAAAACAATAGTCTTTTAGCCAATTGGCAGGATTAATGACATCAGAAATTCTATAAAATTAATGTTCCTTAAGCTAAAAATAAAATTTTAGTAACTAAGAGTGATATTCTTACTCAGTTGTGATCTAAGTCTAAAATTTCATGTAATCTATATAAAAACAAGAGCATGTAACTATTCTTCCAGTGAGAGATAAAGCTAAGTAATTATAAACTGGAGACAAATGACTTTGTATCAAAATATGATTTAAGAGAAAGCATAAGAGCTATCCACTGGGCATGATGGCGCCCACCTATAATCCCAGTGCTTTGGAGGGTGAGGCAGGTGGGTTGCAGCAAATTTAAGACCAGTGTAAACTCCATAGCAAAACCTTATCTCAAAAACAAAACAAAACACAAAAAGCACTATGCATATCATTAAGCAGAAATGGTAGATCATTGCATTCTCTGAACAGTCCCTTAATGTCTTAACTGAAACATCTACATCAGTAGCTGAAAATGCTTGTATTCTCATGTGCAAACAGCTGATATGAAGGGATAAATGTGGTAGAATGTGTGAAGAAAATAAACTATCGGTTACGGGAGAAAATAACTTTATTTAAATATATAATTTTGTGTGTGTGTGTGTGTGTGTACTGGGGTCAAATTCAGGATCTTGTACTTGCCAACAGATGCTTATGCCACTAAGCTGTATCCCCAGCTTACTTTTCTCTTTTTGAGACCAGGTCTCGTTACACAGTTCAGGCTGGCCTTAAACTCACTTTGTAGCCCAGGCTGTAGCCCAGAGTGGTCTCAAACTTACAGTAATCCTCCTGCTTCTGCCTCCCAAGTGCTAGAATTTCAGATCTGCGCCACCACACCTGGTTGGTTTTTTTCTTTTCTTTTTTTTTGAGACAGTCTTGTTCTATAAATCAGGGCATCCTTGAACTCACTTTGTAGCCTGGTCTGATCTCAAACTTGTATCAATCCTCCTGTCTCAGCCTCCCCAGTGCTGGGATTACAGGCATGTGCCATCACTCTTGGCAGGAGAAAATGCCTTTTAAGCTAGTAGTGTTTATCATCAGAATTTATCAGCAGCAGCACACAGTAAGTTGTGTGTATTGTAAGAATACATGGTGAGCTTTATAATTAAGTGGTGTCTGTCATAATGTCATGCTAATCTTGAGGAATTGAGAAACACAAGTATTATTCATTAAAACTCTTGGGTTGTGTTAGCATTCTTTAGGAGTTAGTACATATTGATATCCACATATTAGTGGACAGAAAAAAGTCTGTTCTTTTAAGAATAAGCTACTACATGTTTCAGATTCTGATTTCTAGCATTGATGTCTATAAAAACACATGACTGAAGAGAAATCATTGATGCTGTGCATATATACAGTGATGCAGAAGTCGTAGACTGGTGGTCCATTTCAGTGCAGCTCTTGTGGGTCTGGACAAGCTGTTGTGTACCACCTGAGATATCATGTTATAAAGCACAACAGCGAGAACAGAATTAAATCCTTTCTTTGAAGTTTTGAAATGAAGTGATTGCTACAGTTGTTTCAGAAATGATATGTGGTTTATAAAAATGAGTGGATTTTAAAGTTATCTTTTAGGACCAGTGTGACTTGATATCACATAATAGAGATGAGAGTGATTCCTCATGTGTTATAGTTAGGAAACTCAGCAGGGAATGGTAACCTGTTTTCACTATTGCTCTTGACTTCCGTAATATTACTACTCTCACTTATATATACTGGCACCCAATTCCAGAACTTTCTCTTTATCTGTTACCTGGATAAAAAAGGAAAAGTCAAAGCCTGAAAACTAGTATGCTTTCTTTATGACACAGATAATGTTGCTTTTGTTTCTAGTATTAGCTTTTCACCTCTGGGACAAAATGCCTGACATACACAGCTTAATTTTGACTCATATTTGCAGAGGTTTTAGTCTAATGTGGGCTGGTTCCAAGGTAAAAACATCTGTGAAGGAAAGGTGTAGCAAAGAACTCTTCATTCCATGGCAGCCAAGAAGCAGAACGGGGTTAGGGGATGGGGGAGAGGAGAGAGGGAGAAAGCTAGAGTAAGGCCAGGGACTAGATACTGTCTCCAAGGCTACATCCCAATGACGCATTTAGATATACCCAGCAGTATCTTTTTCTTGTCTCCTTAGTGTCTTTCAAGCCAGTCAAGTTAGCATACAAGATTAACCATCTTATAGTAACATTTGGAAGTTCTTAAGTCTAGGAAAAAGATAGTGTGCTATAACAAATTATATTATGCAGTATGTATGTCATGTATGTCAGTATATAATATAATGATTATTGAATGATCACAGCATAAAGATGTCAGTTATACGATGAGCTCATCTACATGTATATTGTATGGGTGTCATAGAATCCCCAGACCTTTTTTTGTTTTCAGAAAAATATTGAGGTCAATTGATAATTTCTTAATTTTTTTTTAAATTTCTTAAAATTATTTTCTGTTGGTTTCTGTTGGTTTAGAAATTTTTCTAAATCTTAACTTCAGTATTTTCTGTTTAATTTTACTTATTGAAATAGTACAAAGTGGTATTACAGCTGTCAGGGTTTGTTCTTTTTTTGTTTTTTTTTTTTACAGTGATACATTTGATATATCTTGGAATGTTAGACCTGGGATTCGTCAAAGCAGGCTACCAGCTAATACCTCCTTGCTTGATAAAGATGGGATATTTGCGAATTCAGCTGGCAGCCGACTTCTGGAAAGAGCCCATGGAATTCTCACGTCAGTATTGATCAGTAATGTGCATTTCTTTTTCATGAGTTTTTGAAAATTCCTGGCTAAAAAAATGATGATGAATTATTTTTTTGGATATAATTTTCATTGAAACAAGCCTCAAAAGTACTTGGTCAGTATTTAGAGTTATGAATTTAAAGCACTGGTGCTTTTGCTGTTTTAGTTTTCCTTATTGTTGGGAGAATTATGGTTGAATATATTCATTGTAAAAATGATTATTTATTGCTCTTTGACATGTTCTACTTCTAAAGAAGTAAATGTTTGCTGTTATTTAGAATTCATTGTCAGTACTAGAGTTACTGTCCTTTAATTCTGACAGTGCTAACAGTTGGCATTGAGATGCCCTGTAAGTGGTGAATGGGACCATATACCATGGTATAGTGCATTCATCCAAGCCTGCTGTTTCTCAGTACAGCATCAGCATTTTTCAAACATATTCCAACCATGTTTGTTTGTTTATTTATTATTTTATTGATTTTTTTGAGAAACAAATAGCAATGAGGCAGTTTCAAAACCGATTAGTAGGACAGTTTCAATAATGAATACATTCCATATTGTTGTCTTTGTAGTGGCTATTCATAGTACAAGATGCAGACATGATATCCAAACCTGTTTGTTGACTGGTAGCTGGAGCTGTATCTGAATTAGATTCCTTAACTCCTGAGTTATTGCTTGTTAGGATTGATAAGTTTAATTTATGTAGGCCTTGCTCTACTCCAGAAATGTATACTGACTCATTTAATTCTCACAGCAGTTCTGACTGTAGGTGGTATTATTGTACTCATTTTATAATGAAGCCAAGGCTTCAAGATGTTAGACTTTAGTAAGTAGTACATTCTAGCATAGGTCTTTGTAAATTAGCACATATTTGTCTCATTGAGCTTCTATTTATTTTTTCTGAAGCTATAAGAAACTGAATATAAAATACTAATACAACATTGAGCTGTGAGTAAAAAGAAAAAAGCATTTTTAACTTCCAAAAAATGAAAAATTACATTTTGCCAAAAAAGTAAATCTTTGGAGATAATGTGGAATTTAGGCATCCCTAAATGACAAAAGTGAATCTTTGTAGGTATAAGAAAAGAGATCCCTACTAACATAAAAAAAAAAAAGGAAAAGGAAAGAAAAACTGTACCTTGGAATATATATTATTACGTTACTCATCATGAGGCTTGAATCTGCTTATTTCCATGTTAGCTGGTGTCAGTTTCCCTCTGTTCTTTCCCTTGCTTACCCATTCTTCCCAGGGGTACCTCCTTGATTAAGTCAAGTAAGATTTTCATATAGAGGACCTACACTCTTAGTAATCAGTTCATTGTTTTAAGTATAGACTTTGAAGTCATTTAATCTGTATGATAGTTCTGTCTAACAAGTGATTTATCCCTTTAGGAGAAATAAAAACTTGAAATCCAGGCTTGCACTCCCAAAGGTAAGTATTACAAAAGCTTTATTTTTCCTATTGTGCCTTATTACATAATTATCTTTTTTTATTCTTGCAAACAATCCTTATAAATTGATGACAAGGTATTTTGTACCTTATTTCTGTCCATGACAGGGATTGTGTGCACTTAGCAGAATGCATTTTAGAAAATACTCTAGCTGGACTGGGGATATGGCTCGGCACTCTAAGCACCTGTCTGGCAAGTTCAAGGACCTGGGTTCGATCCCCAGTACTGCATGCCATGCCAGCCCTGGAACTGCGGGCAAACTGTGCTGGCCACTGAAATGAGGCGTGGTGGCACATGCCTGTAATCCCAGTGCTGTGGAGGCTCAGGGAGGAGGATCACTATGAGTCTGAGCTGTCTAGTTAGACCTTGTACCAAATAAATAAAAGATTAAAAAAGAAAAAACTGTAGCTATTATGAAATGACCAAGTCTAATGGTTTAGGTAAATTATTTGTTACAAAAATCCTTTCTACTTATTTAAAAAATTTCATGGATTTAAATTAATTTTTCATTTAGTAAAGTTCTTTCTTTTTTTTTTTTTGAGTCAGGTTAAGAACAAATTCTATGAGACTGGGTGTGGTGGCGTGCACCTGTGTAATCCCAGCTCTTGGGAGGCTGTAAACAGGTGGATCACTACGAGTCCAATCTGGTAGTGAGACCCTGAACATTCCGTAAAACCTTCCCTAAAAATACAAAACAAAGAGAACAAATTCTGAATTAAAGCTTATAGTTAATGTTAATTTAATCTTCATATTTATGAGAGGAATTAGGTCTTTTCTGTGTCAAGCTTTACCTAGTCTGTGTGGGCATGTGGACTCTGATGTGACCTGCTTAGCTTCACTGTAGTAGTAGAAACATGGCTATAGGTAATAGCTGAGCAAGTGCTTCTGCAATCCAGTAGAACTTTATTGCCCTAGAACTTGATTTATGGATACCGAAATGTGAATTTCATAGTTTTTTTTACTTGTTCTGAAATATTATTCATTTGATTTTTAAATCTAATAAACCATATAAAAGCAGTGGGTCAGATTTGAGACATGGGCTGTAACTTTTCTATATACAGAGGTGGCATTTCAGATCTTATTTACTGAATTCGTACCTTAGTATTCCCTTCTCTTTTCTCAAAGAATCTTGTAACTCATAACTTCCTGAATAAAGTTAATTTTAGAATTTTAAAAGAACTGATTGTCGTTTATTCCCTTTTGTTTCAGGGAACAAGCAAATGAATCTGTTGTTATTCCTTCTCCTTAAGTCAGGTTCTTTTCATGCAAATAAATGTGTTGAGGCTGAAAACAGGAGAATCACTGAGTCCAGTCTGTGTAGTGAAACCCTGTAGATCCTGTACTAAATACATTTTTTTTTTTCTAAATACATCTTTTAAAAAAGGTGGTGGTGGGGGAAAATTCTGTAATATGGGTTAATATGCTTAGGGTAATAAGCCAGAGATAGACATATAGTGCAAGATATCTTTAGGTCTCATTAATGTGTGGAATCTAAAAAGGCATATCTAATGGAACTAGAAAGCAGATTGGGAGTTACCACAGGCTTGGGAAGTGGAAAGGGTGGGGAGAAGAGTGGAGTTTCATTGAGACAGGAGGAATATATTCTAACAATTTATTGCAGTCTGATAACTGTATTATGCTTTTCAAAATTGCTTATGAAGTAAATTGTACAGCCAGGAGATAGGTCAGCAGACTAAGCACCTGCATAGGCAAGTGCAGGGACCAGGGTTTGATCCCCATCCCCACCCCCAGGATGTGCTGAGCTGGCCACGGAGACGGGGCATGGTGGCGCGTGCCTGGAAACTCAGCGTTGGGTCTGAGCTGTGTAGTGAGACCCTGTATGAAATACATATAAATTAAATAGTAAGCACTCTTCCCCCCCAAAGAAGTGATAAGTATGAGGTAATAGTAGGTTATTTAGCTCTGTACATGATTTTTATAACTATATAAAAATCATGGACTGTATAACTATATGCTATTATCAGTTAAAAATGAAATACTTTTTATTATAGTCAGTGACATAAAGTACATTAGAGACTGCTAGGAAGCTGCATACAAGATTTGGGGAATTGGGAGGAATTACAAAAGGACACAGAGGACAAATAAGACATTAGAGCCAATGGATTTATTCATTATCTTGGTTGTTGTATAGCTTTTGTTTTTGTCTATAGTCACTGTCTTCCTGTCCTTCTCTCTTCCTCCCTCCAGCATTGAACCTAGGCATACTTTACCACTGTTATATCCCCAACCCTTTCATTTTTATATAGGGTCTTAGTAAGTAAATCACCCAAGCTGGCCTTAAGTATAAGGTCTTTTTGCTTCAACCCCCTGACCCTGCTCTTAGTCTGATTTCTGTTATATAGAAATCTTCCCTTTTTTTTAAAATGTATTTAGTACAGTGTCTACAGTGTCTCACTACACAAATCAGACTTGTAGTGATCCTCCTGTTTTCAGCCTCCTAAGCACTGGGATTACAGTTGTGCATCACCACACCCAGTCTCCATCACTCTCTCAGCATGCCCCTGGGGCAGGCCCAGCAGGGCAGGCCAGGGATCAGACCCCGGTCCCTAGGTCTGCCTAAGTAGATGCTTTAATCTGCTGAGCTGTCTGGCTGGCCCTATAGTAGAATTCTTGAGACTGGAATCTGTATTTATAAAGGAAAGAAATATACATAGTCCATGATTGTAGAAACTAGCACTGTGAGAACCTCATGCTGTATCAGGATCAAAAGGGCAGATGAGTACCTGAGAGATGAACCTGGAGTGGCCTGATTGTATTACAGCCTCCTCTTACGGCAAATAACCCAGTCCTAGAAGAATGACGTGTCTCACTCCTGAAGAAAAATGTTAATCCCTTATTGTATGTATTTTAAATTCCTTGAGAGAGAACATTAAATGGTCTTCACCTTCTGAGTGTGCTATTGCCTAACTTTGTTTTTTATTTATGTATTTAGTATAGGGTCTTGTTATGTAGCTTGGACTGGTAGCAATCCTCCTGTTTCAGCTTCCCCAGCGCTGGGATTACAGGCCTGTGCTACTATGCCAGGTTTCGGTGGCCATCTTGTCAGGCCCAGGGCGGGGCCAGCATAGCAAGTAGTGCCAGGATCAAACCTGGGCCCTTGTGATTGCCAGGCAGGTACTTAGACTGCTGAGCTATCTCCCCAGCCCCTAATTTGTTTTCTAAAGTGCATATTAGCAATACAGAATGGTGAAGTTTTCTAGGAGGAATTTGATGCTTGTATTTAACATATTTTGATTATTTAAAAATCTTTCTTACTCTTACTCTCATCTCTCTCTCCCCTTCTCCTCAGTCCCCTTCCCTTAGAGACCCTAACCTCCAGCAGTGTCACATTTCAGAGCTTCCATTGTACACATTAAATATATGTGCAGTTTGTTTTTTGTTGGTAAAGCTGTTGGGAAAAAGTCCATTGGAGGAAAAAGATGAGAGTCAAAGTTTTTGTGTCTTTTACCTCATTGAAGTATATACCTTTTGAACATATAACTATTGTCTGTAATTTATTTATTTATTTATTTATCTATTTATCTATTTATCTATTTATTTATGGCGGAAGTGGGGTCTGAACTCAGATCCCTGCGTTTGCCAGTCAAGCGCTTAGCCTACTGAGCCATCTCCCTGGCCCCTGTCTGTAATTAATTTAGAGTTTTTATTTAAAATATCTACTACTAAAAATAAAATACTACTTGCACAGTGTAAGAAAAGCCGTGTTCTTATCTTGAGGCTTCTGTGAGTACATGGAAATCAGACATTCTTAGCTCACAAATTTTGTCTCAGACTGAGTTCTTTTTAAAAACAAAACAAAACAAGGCAAGACATGGTGGCACATGCCTGTAATCCCAGTACTGGGGAGGCTGAGGCAAGAGGATTGCCGTGAGTTTGAGGCCAGCCTGATTTACTTGAAGAAACCCTGTCTCAAAAAGACCCCCCAAAAAGCATGAGTTAGGTTGACCTAGGTGCTGGAAAGGGGTCATACAAGGAAATGATGCATAGGTTGGGGTTGCAGAGTGAGATAGAATTCTATAGGATGCTTGTCATTACAGCTTTTCCATACAAAGCCTTGAAATAACCCTCCTGCACTTAGTTTATGCATTTGTATCTGAGATGACATACAAATGTTCCCTTTGGATCACAGCCTGGCTTTTGAAGAGAAGTGCTCACTTGAAACGAGGAGACTTAGGAGCAGGGGAGTTGGCTCAGTAGAATAGGCACTTGCCTGGCAAGCTCAAGGCCTAAGTTCAATCCCCAGTCCCCAGTTCCACCAAAAAAAAAAAAAAAAAAAAAAGGAAGAAACTTAAAATGAGATTTTTTTTGTGGGTTGAAGTTGATCTTTGCACCTGACCATAGCTTTGAAATGATAGTATTTTGTTTTTACATTTACAATTTATTTCCTCTCATAACTTTCAGCTGTACCTTCTGTTAAACTTCATTTTTCTGATGTGACCTATTTTTTAAATTATATTCTTTATTGACTGTTGCTTTTGCCTTTTTGTTCATTTCTTTTTTTCTGCTCTGCTCATCTTTCAAAGTTCATGGCCAAAATGATCTTAATGTGTGACTAATAAATTTTACAGTCACTCAGACTTAACGCCTAAGAAATAATTTTATTTCCCTTTTAACCCTACTTGACAGTATAAACATAGCTTAATTAGTTGAGGCTGCTGTGATAAAATAGACTTTATTAAATTATCATTCACAGTTCTGGGGGCTGAGAAGTCCAAGATCAACATGCCTGCAGATTTGATGTCAGATGGTGGCCCATTCCACATAGCCATCTCTGTGGCTCCTTCTCTGTGTTCAGTGGTGGAAGGGGCAAATAAGCTCCATGGGCCTCTTTGATATTGATAACCCCATATGAGGGCCAACACTTCATGAGCCCAGCCTCTTTCAGAAGTCTTACCTCTTAATTCTATCCTGTTGGCTTTATCTGTACAGCACCTTTCCCAAAAGGAGTAAATACTGAAAA